ACTTATGCTGTTCTTCCTTACACTTTGGTGGTATCACTTATTATCCTCTTCCTTAATTTGGTTCTTTACAGAAAATAAACTTACCACTTTAAACTTCCAAGAAAGTTTGCAAGAATAATTTTAAAAAGTTCCTGCATGCCTTTTAACCAGTTTTATCAATTGTTGATATTTTGCCCCATTTGTTTTAACATTCTCTCAACTAGTTAAGAGTAAACTGTAGGCAGCTTGCTCCTTTACTGGTGTTTCAGTTCTGTTTCCTAAGAACAAGGACATTCTTTTAAATAACCGTAGTGCCCTTATCAAGATCGGAAAATTGAACCCTGATAAAATGCTGTTATCCAATCCACGATACATATTCCAGAGTCCACCGTCTCAGAAATGCCTTTCCAGCTTTATCCCTCTGGTTTAATATAGGATCACGCATTGCATTTACTTTCACGTTATCATTCTCTGTCTCTCCATTTTCTTTGGTTTGATTTTCTTTAAACAGAAACACACCTTAGGTTACATATTGACAGAGTGATGGAAATGTTGTGACCAGAGGCTTGCGAGACCCTAACTCTGAACTTCCTCAGGAAGCAATGGGTTCGCTCTCGCTAATTCACCATTTGCTGTGATGTTCTGCAACGTTACTCCTGTGAACAAGGAGAATTGTCGGTTAGGAGGAGCCACAACTCACAGTGGTGGTTGGTTTTGAGGTCAGGGTGTGGGGAAGGGATGCAGGGGTTTTGTCATCAGGGATATTGAAGGCTGAAAGCAAACATCACAAAATGCTGTTATTGAGTGGTGCTACTAAGAGTGCTTGTTAGTGTTTGCAATCACTTTAATTTCCTAAAGGAAAAATCTGTACAAGGGCAGCACCATTGGGAGAGAAGGGAATGGGAGGTGGTCATCAGTAAAAGTGTATCTCCTCATCCTACAGTGCACATATACTAAGAGGGAGGTGTAAAATCAGCTGTAATCAAAAACTGGAATCCAGGAAGGTGAATGAGTAGCTGCTCAGCTGGGCTTAACACACAACAGCCTGCCCTGCCTCAGAACGGGCGTTATAAAGCTTTGTTGAGTTTGAAAGAAATATTATGTCAGGAGATGCTGTTGCTTGAAATGCTGGTGCATGCCAACCTATTTCTGTCTAGCTTCTGAGGCTAGTTCACTGCCAAACTATAAAGCCTGTGTCAATAAGGAATCACACCACTCGTAGCTTAAAATCTCTCCAACAGATGTAATGGGCTATTGAGGTACTTTGTCCTGAGATAAAGCAACCAGGTATCAAGAAGCTACATTTCCCTCCAATTTCAGTAATTAATGTAGCTCTAATCTCCAAATACCAGTCTCCCAAGCAAAATGAAAAGAAGGCTATTTGCCACATGATTAAGATGAAGTGACATGAAATCCCTAAGGGGAAAACGGGTGTGTACAAAGTAAACTTTTAAGTAAACTAAGAGTAAAAACGCCCTTGGAGAGGCTGTAGCCAAGTTAATGGGAACGGGCGGGGGCGGGGGGGGGGGCAGGGCACTACGCAGGCAGGACCGCCTACCCAATCCTTAGTTCCAATCTAAAGGATGAACTAATTTATGCCAAGAGTTTAATAAACATGGACAAGTTTGCTCAAATACTAATTTATTGACTTCTGTTAGGTAGTGGCAAAGTACTTCAAGAGCTATCCTTCCACACGAAATTTTAGAAGAGACTCAATCAACCAGAACAAGAGAGGAAGGGTTGCCGTAATCTCAGGACCTGCATTTTCTGATGGGTTGGGGCTTGAGCACCAATGTCTTGTCCATGAAATTTCTACAATGTATCGTAAGACCTGCTGCCCTGGGCACAGGAGAATACTGCTGCTAGTAATACATCTGGGGTGTTGCCATGTAACTGGTGCTCTCAAGCTTTACTCTCTGACTTCTCACAACAGCACGGTGCTGGCAGGACTTTGAGGACTCCCGCTTTAACCGATACAGACGCTGAGGCACGATGAAAGTAGTGAATGGGATGGAAGCAGTCTCAGAGGACTACAATTCTTTCATCACTCCCTTACAATCATTCTGCGCTTTTATGATGCTATCGTTCTCCGAGACGGTGATGGTATGGGGCGGAGTGGAACTCTGTTTTGATGCTGGGTTTGGGATTTTGGATACATTGCTGGCATTAGAATGCTTCACTGTAACTCATCTCCAAGTCTTGGCAGCAGACAGGGGAGGGGTTAACAGCAGATACCGGGTAATCCAGGGTCTATTTTAATGGGTTCTTAAAATATGGTAGGTTCCCACACTGCTATACTTCTGGTGAAAACCACCTACATGGAAAACTAACCAAGGTGTTCTGATCACATCCTAATTATCACCCAGCAGCATTGCAAAATGATCCGCCTTATGAAAGCAATAATCTTGCTGGGGGAGCTGACGGTACCCCCAAACTCTAGACGGCTTTGATGCATCCTTAATAGAGCCCTCCTACTTCATACAAAATCTTCATAAATTTTATCTTCTCATAAACTTAGTAATGTCAGAAAGGACCTCCAGTTCAGTATAATTCTTTCTCACTACTGACCATGTGAGTGAAAGGGCTTGACTTCTCATTCGTTCCCTTTAAGCAGCTGACGCCGGCTGAGACCCAATCACTTTGCTGTCACTGCTGTCTTAATGGCATTTGCACATCACGGCCGAACACCTGCTTCTGGAGCCATCTCTTTCTTTCTTTGGGCATCAAGTCATACAACGATTTCTTAAAAATAAGGCCCACTCTCTACTGTGGAAATAGAAATTTTTTAAAAAAACCATTAAAGAGGACAGAGAGACTTCATGCTTATGTTTCATTTCCACTGATGGAAACTGCCATAGAAAAATGCAGTGTATCATTATGCAAGTGTATAAAATACTGAAAACTCCAACCATAGAGCATCTCTATCAGAAAGTGGGTTTATTGATGTAACTGAACATAGCAGTGTATAGCGTTTATTCATTTCCCACTGAAAGACGTTCCAGTGAAACTGTTTTTAACATAGATCCAGGTGCTGAGCATTTTCAGTGACAGTCTGCAGTTCAAGAGGGTGGAGCACAGGAAAACCAGAGTCCTTTCCCAGACTTTTGATGGGACTCAACATTACATGGCTGTGCAAGAGAAAGACCTAAGAGAGGTGATTGCTCAATGAGTGAAAAAAACTAGGAGCGAGAAAGGTGCAAGATAGCCCAAAGGCTGCAAAGAAGAGCAAACAATTGCGCCTCTCTCATGGACCAGTAAGCTTGGCATCTGAAACAAGCTCTGGCAGCAAACTAAGAATGACAGTCTATTTCCTGTGGTTTATTAAGTTTTGGCCCCACAGATAAGGCTGCCAGGAAAGCAGCTGTACTCTAAGTGGTCTGGACATTTATTCATCTGAACATAAACAAAGATCAGTTCATTTAGATCCCTGGGTCCCTACTCAGCTGTGGGGACAAGAGCAGGCCTGGCTCTGTGGAGACCAAACAAAAGGAGTGGACTGGGGGTGAAGGACCCCTTGACTGGTAGATTCCCTGAGTCATCAGGACCCTTAGGGGCATAAGGCCCGAAAGGGAAGAGTCACTGTTAGCCTTAGCACCTGCGTCATGGCTCCACAACACCCCACCACCAATGAATCATAACCATGGTAACTGTAACCATGTGCACCCTCTGAGTGATGACGCTTTTAGACCACACACAAAATCACTGATGTAAACCAAAGCACTGCATTTAGTGATAAACACGTACTTCATAAATATCAGGACATGAAAGTATCTCAAACAGTTGCAAATAACAGATCCAGTAAAGGAGCCCAACCCTAAGTTTAAAACAAGAACATTGAAAAGAAATACTGCAATTATTAACTAAAAGATAAAATTTAATAACACAGTAAAACACAGGGTGGTGGAGGGACTAATTTGCAAAACACAAAATTATTTCACAGTCAGGTTTAAGTACTCATGACAATCTTCTGGCTTTAGTAGAAAGACAACCATTGATAGACATTTTTTTCACATTTTTTTCCCAATAATTTCTTCCCTTCTACTATTTCATACAAAGTAAGACATTAATGCGATCAAACATACACAATCGCCTTTTGTTCCCCTTTTTGGAAACTACCTTTATCACTTAACTGTGCAACTCGGGACAAGCAGGGCACATGGCATTTATTCCATCCCGGACACGCTGCCAGAGGCGCCCTAAGCAATCGAGCACAAAGGCATTCCCTACGGGGTCATCGCTCCCATACACATTACATTCTTTGATCAAGTCTGGCATTGAAATTTCCTTTTCCACCTATAGGTTTAAAAAAAAAAAAACAACTTAAAAAGCCACAGGAGCAACCCTCACAGAGAAGTCTTGCATGCAGTCTTCTCCAGAGAAAGTGTGTGAGCGTAGTTCACCCCAAGGTCAGCAAATATTCTTGTGGTGTTAATGTTAAAAAGAAAATGGTTGAGCCACCCAGCTCAACTAAAATAGTCCTTGAGTTGGTTCATCAGTTTGTTAAATGTCAGGGCTCTTCACATTGTTGAAAAAAAAAAAATAGCGTCTCTAATTATTTAAACATTAAGTTATCCTGAATGTTCTATTAACCACCATAAAACAGTTCCTTGGTGAGTGTGTTAAACTTTACCACCTGCTTCCATCACCCTTCCTGGCAGAAACCGCCAGACCAGTGGGGCCCCTTGCCAAGCCTCTTTTGTAATGGTAATAAGTTCCTTTTTCCTTAAATAGAACCCAAACACCTCTATTCGAACAAATAAAAAACATGTATCCAAATCTCCTTCTGGCCATGAGGGGGGCACAGGGACCCTTTTCTATCCCCGAGGGGTCTGGCTATTCATTGCAACACCACAAAAGCCATCCTCAAAGCAGGGCCAAGGTCTCCGCGTGAAGGAGGCCTCCCACCCCTGAACCCCACCATCCATGTGTCCCCTACTCTTGGCCTTGACCACCAAGTACCATCCATTTACTTCATAAGTATTGGAAATTAGGGGCGGCGGGGCGGCGGGGGGGGGGGGAGGCACCGAATAGGCTGGCTGTCCCCTTTGACCTCTCTAGCCAAGAGCACGACAGGGCGAAAGGAGATGGTCTGATAACATGAGATCTTCCCCTGAGGTGAGTCGAGGGGGCCCCACGGAGAAGCGGCCCCTCAAAGCCAATTAGATGGTCTCTACACCCCTGGATCTAGTCGGCGAATCGCTGCAGGAGATGGTCCTCCCGCCTCAAGCTGCCACCAGCCCCACTGCCCCCGCTGTCCATGAAGCGGTCACAGGGGAACTCGATGAGGTCTGCCTCGCTGAGCGCGCACACGGTGGTGCGCGGCCTGTGCGACTGGAATCCAGAGAAGTCGGCAGACACGCCGGTGCCCATGGAGCGCAGGGGCCGTCGCGTGGAGTACATGTGGCGGACGTGGACAGGCGCCCCTCCCTTTCGCCTGGCCCGCAGCTTCCTCCGCAGCCAGCGTGATGCCCAGGCCGCCAAAGCCAGAAGCACTAGCAGCGCGTTGACGGCCAGCAGGGCCAAGGTGAGCAGCTGGTAGTCGATGCTGCTCCGGCTCCCAGGCTCCGGCAGGGTGACCAGCCCGGCGCAGTGGTCCCGGGGAGCCACCGGGCAGACCCTGCCCCCCAGCACGCCCTCCACACACACCAGATAGGGGGTGTCTCCACGCAGCTCGCGCAGCGTGGCCGAATCGCTGCGCTCCGGCAGGTAGACGAAGCGGTGGAATTTCGGCTGCTGGCCAAAGCGGTCGAAGAGCAGGCGGAAGCGCGCGCCACCCAGCGGCCGGGGGCTGCGGTGCTCCCGCACTGCCCAGCGCACCGAGGCGCTGTCGGCGCCCACAGCCTCCACCGTCAGGTTGCACAGGATGAACTTGTTGAAGTCACACGGGTCGGACACCAGCGGCGGCAGGCCGACCCCGCTGTCGGACTGGGCGGCGCTCTCCTGCTGCTGCGCGGCTAGGACCTGCTTCGCCGCGCGCTGCCAGAGGTCGCCAGCGGTCAGCGGCGCAGAGGCGGGGGCGGAGGTCGGGGTGGGCCCCGCGTGGGCAGGGTAGGCCGGCGTCGGACGTCCCCGCTCGGGCTTCTCGAGCAGGTCCAGGGGATGTGGAGCCGCGCCCGCCACAGCAGCGGCGGAGGGGACTGGCTGCTGGAGGCCTGGACCCCATCGGCTCAGCTTCAGGGCGCTCCGGTTGCCCCAGAGCTCCCTGGCCGTCCCATCCCAGGGCACTCCGGGCAGGAATCGTCCCCGCTGCTGGGGCTGCGGTTGCGGCGGCAGCTCGTCCGCGAGGCCACCTGCAGGGGGCGCCATCTTCTCCCCCGTGACTGTAGGTAAGGGCCGCCGCTTGCCGTCGTCGGTCGGAGAGACCGAGGGCAAGGCATCCGCGCAAGACCCGTTCTGCAGCTGTTGCTCGTCCAGGTAATCCAGGTACTTGCCCCGCAGGGCCGGGGGGTGGCGACACTGCACAAAGACGGTGAGAAGCCGGCCCTGAGAGTGCCAGTCGCCCATCCAGCGCTTCAGGCCCCGCAGCCGGCAGTCGCAGGTCCAGCCGTTGCCGTCTAGGTCCAGCCGGTAGAGGGCCGGGCTGGCGGCGAAGATGTCCCCAGAGAGGGCGCTGAGCGCGTTGTCGCGCAAGCTGAGTTCGCGCAGGCGGCCCAAGTGGCCGAAGATGTTTGGGTGCAGAGCGGAGAGCTCGTTGCCACTCAGGTCCAGCGCCTCCAGGCTGTGCAGAGGTTCCAGCAGCGCAACGGGCAGCTGGCTCAGCCGATTGCTCTCCAGGCGCAGCTCACGCAGGCCCTCCAGCCCCCAAAAGGCCTCCGGCGCCAGGTGTGTGAGCTGGTTTCCCCTAAGTGAGAGCAGGCCGAGGCGCGGCAGGTGCTGGAAGACGCGTGGCCCGAGGTGCTGCAGGCTGTTGTTGGAGAGGATGAGGGTGGAGAGGGAGCGCAGCGGTGCGAATGTGGCCGCGTGGCGTAGGGAGGGCTGCAACTCGTTCGCAGAGAGGTTGAGAAAGCGCAGCTTGCCGAGCTGGGCGAAGGCGTTCTTGCCCAGAAAGCGGATCCGGTTGGACTCTAGATGTAGGTAGAGCAAGTTGCCCAAGGGGGCGAAGACCGCGTCCGGCAGCGCCCCCAGGGCGTTCCCGTCCAGACGCAGCTTGACCAGACTCTCCAGGCCCTCGAAAGAGCCACGGCTCAGGCGGCCGATTTCGTTCCCGTTGGCGTAGAGGATGCGCAGCTTGCGGAGCGGGGCCAATGTGCCCGGGGCGAGCGCCTGCAGGAGGTTGTTCCCCAGGTAGAGCTCCTCCAGTCGCGAGAGCTTCTCGAAGGTCTTGGGGTGCAGAGAGCGGATCTGGTTGTACTGCAGGTCGAGCCGTCTGAGCTGTCCCAGGCGGTGGAAGTCGAATGCCGTGATGTTGGTTATGAAGTTGCCGCCAAGGCTGTAGGTGAGCACGTCCTGGGGGTTCGGCAGCGAGCTGGTCTTGGGCACGGCGCGGAGCCCCCTGTTGGTGCACAGGAGGTGCTGGGGGTGCTGGCAGTCACAGCGCTCCGGGCACACGGGCTGGGCCCGCGGCGGGAGAGCGAGGCAGCCGCACACCACGAGCAGGAAGCGCACGGCGCGGGCAGCCTCCATCGCCGCCCGCCCTGCGTGCAGCTGCCGGATCGTCCTCTTGGCCCGCCGGCTCTGTGTCTCCTCTGCATTCCCTTTGGCCTGGCCAGAGACGCTAAACGGCCTCTTTCGGGACTCCTTTGCGCGGTCCAGCCCCTCCTCCGCCCTTTGTCCGGTGGCTGGCCCGGGCCTCTGCAGGAGGGCTTCGCCCAGCCAAGTCAGGCGGCGCAGGACGCTCCGCGAGCTCCGGGTGCTACTTGTTGCATCTCTGCAGAAAACTGTTTCTTCGGGTGAGCGTCGTGAGGCGGAGGGGGGGAGCAAGAACTGATCTTTTTGTTTGCAGCTCGAGTCCGGAGAGCTGGATTCCCTGGCACGGATTCTCCTCGCCGAGTGGATTCCCCAGCTGCAGGCAGGCGGGAGCCCTTCCAAGAGCTGCTCGGGGCGCGGCTTGGCTGCTGCGCCCCGGCGGGCGGCTCGGCCCCCGCAGCCGGAGCCTCCTCGCGGGACCGCGAGCGCTGTCTCGGTGGAAGGGCCGGGGGAGGAGCCGAGGTGCGCAGGCTGCGTCCGGAAGGGACCCAAGTCGGCGAGTGGCGAGCAAACCGGGCGGAAATTCGTTCTTCCCACACTCTGCCCCCGGGGATGCAGGCGGGGAAAGAGGAGACGGCGGAGGGAGAACAGACCCCGGCAGGGGGAGGGGAAACGCTAAGTGGCTCCGCGTCTGGTCAGCCTGAGCCCGGGACGCCAAGTGAGAAAAGTAGGGATTAAAAACAGCTGTACGGGGCGGACACACTGGGCTGGGGGCGGGGGTGGATTACCGGTCGAGCAAACGGGATTTGCAGACAGAGACCTTTTTATTTTTGACGAGGACACCAGTCGCTTCAGAGCAGTGGGAGCTCGGCTGGTCTCACTCGTTTTTTAAGTCATTTGCTCTTCCAGGTGCCACCCTGGGGGAAGTTGGGGCAGCAGGGAGTCCGCCAGCATTCTACAAAAGTTTTGGGGAGCACAAGATTGTCGGCGGGCCGTTGTCGGGAGAGGCTAGGTCTATCCAGTCTTAACTGCCGCGTGTCTGGGTTTTGGGCAACGTGCTACTGGGAGCGGAGGAGAGGCACCGCCCCCTTAGGGATCTGAACTAAAGGCCCTGCTGTAGGCAAGAGCAAGGACGAAGCTCAGAACTGGTTCTACCGGCGTGAAAGTGTCTCTGCCAGATTCGGGTGATTTAGTTCCATTAATTTTCCTCCCTGGGGGAGGCTCTGCACGTGTGCATATATATAATAACCTTCCAGGGTACCTGCTACCTGTGGGTGTGGCAGATTATGTATATAAATCCGACCCTCAGGTAACTGCTAGCTGCGGGGGCGGGGTCGCTTCTGCTCGTTGTCTGGGCTTGCAATGATCTTTAGAGTCTTTAGTCCCCAAAATTCGCAGGCCTGGTTTAGTTGGGGAAGTCTTATTATTTCCTATCAATAGAGAATGGAGCAGTTATCCAGGGCTCCTTTGACGGCGGCCCCTGCTGAGAAAGAGTGGGCGAGGCAGGCCTGTTAATTGCTCTTTGTTTAAGCAAACTATCTTGCTAATAGATATAAAATAAAGACCCCTTCGTTCCCTCACCCCACCCCAAAGTGTTCAGAAACTGTAATTGTAAGGATGTACTCTGGACAATTAAAGGAAACAGACCTATCAAGAGGCTGACAGTCTAGTGGGAAGGAAAGGCACAATAATATGAGGCAATCTCTGAGACAGCTGCTGAGTGCAGATGAGTTTCAGTGATTCCAGTGTGTGGCAGTGATTCATTGCCTCGTTTAGCAATTCCTCCAGGTATGCGACAGAGACAAGTTCTGAATTTAAGCAAAGACCAGATCATTGGCAGCAAGGTCAGTGAAGACTTACCGGTGAGCAGGGACCAGGGCTGAAGGGTGACGAGGTTCAGAGCTAAGGGTAGGGAGTGAAATGACCTTTCAGGGCACAGCCAAAGAGCAGATCACATTCGCCTGTGATTTGCTTTGAGTTTTCAGATAAAGGATGAACTTGGAGAACCAAGTGTCTGTCATTAAGAGGAAAGATGAAGTTACCCAGGTAGTTGGTTTTTAGTTCTCGTTGGAAAAATATTCTGAAACCCTTTTAGTTTTTGATTCCCGTCCTCTTTATGAAGGTATGGCACAGTGTAGCCCAAGCTGTCCTGATCTTGGCTGGTAGGAGGACCTTCCATCTTTGTTGCCTGTTTTTCAGAGGAAAGATACAAAGAAGCCGCTGGCCTTCCAATTAAATCACTGGACCTACCTGGGGTAGAACCGTGGTAGCATCTGCTTTGAGCCCACGGTCCTGGGACACACCAACAGCATTCTCAGCAGGAAAGAGGTTGGAAGCTGAGAGAGGTGTCAAGTGGAGAGGCAGAAGCACAAATCAGACTTTACCCGTTTGCATAAGCCTCCTCTCCTTCTGAGTCTTCCTCGAAAACTCGCAGAGAAAGCGAAGGTAAGCAGCCAGTCAGTCTCTCCGAGGGCCACTGTGGTTTGGACCAATCACTCATTCCCCTGGGGATGTCTTTCCTTTATAGAGCCCTCTAAGTAAGATTTAGAAAGTTATCAGACCCCTGCAGACATCCAGCACCCTTTTTCTGGCTCTTCGCCATGATTGCCCAATGATTCATGTTTGCCCAGAAGCCCTGGAGTGCAGGTAGAAATACCATACCTGGATTCATGTCGTCCCGTGTCCTCGAAGCAATCCGTCTGCTGCATGTAGTTAACCTCGCTTAAAATAGAGGCAGCCTGCCATCTTTGAAATAAATACGGACAGTTTCTGATAGGTGTCGCTAGCACCCTCAACCCCAGGCCAATAAGAGTAAGATTTGGAGATCTAGAGATAAAATGATAACACATGTGTGTGCATATAAAGTTTTTCTGAAAAAGTGTGACTACTGTCTTTTTAACAAATACTCCCCTTTTCAAAAGACGTATAACCTGAGGTCAGCTTTACAGATGAATGACGTTGAAACCCTTCAGAGTCCATCTATGTGATAGTCATATGTGCCTCCTCCCAGTGGCCTCCATGTCTGTAATGCTACATGTTCAGTTTACAGTATTTTCACCTCTCTCTTCCAGGAGTTGACATATTTTGCTTGAATCTGGCAGTACTTAGAGGCCCTGGTAGCGCAGAGCAAAAACTCCAAAAATTGCACTGGCTTGGAGTCCTCTTCACTGCTGGCGATCAGGCAGGAGGCAGGCAGTTAGAACTTAGCATGCGCCAAATGGCAGCAAGGGTGGCGGGAAAGCCGCGGCTGAGAGATGCTGTGCCAGACCCAGGGCGCACCGGCCTCGTGGGGAGGCTGATGCACAAGGAGCAGCTGCAGCCAGGTGGTCAGAGCTGTGGGAGGCCTGGGAAGGTGAGCCGTGCCTGGGAGCCGGAGGAAGGCTCCCAGGGACAGGAAGTGCTGAGCATTGCCTGGGCGCAGGTGAGCAGGGCTCTGGGGGGTGGGGAGGGGCGTGCACAAAAGAGTGATTTAGGAACCTCTGAAATTTCTGTCTGAACCTTTGTTGGTAAGGGTTGCTTTTTTTTTTTAATGTCAGTGTTTTTTGACAGTGTCACACAACCCTTGCTCATATAGTGACTTCCAAATAAATATTCCCAATTCTGCTATAAGGATTTCAGCAGGTAGTTGACATAATCATACTTGTACCATAACATCAAGTGGTATCTCTGCCCAAATAAACTAGGTGCTATACAAAGAAAATGCCATTGATCTAGTTCTTGCCTTCTAGAACCTTGAAATATAAGACAGTGGTTTGTGCAGGATGTGTTGATAAAACATCCAGATCAAGGTATTCACTTACATAAAATACACTGCGTATATTTTGTAGAGATAATATATATACGTGTATATGCATATGCATGTGTGTATATGGCAGTGCTGTTGAGATAGGGCACCTTGCATTCCTATCCTGAACCTGTACTTTCAAGCAACATTCCAGTCCTTCTCTGGTTGTGTCCCTCCCTATAAGAGCAGGATTTTGAGCTTCCAAAGGGATGTGCTCACCCAAAGCCCCCACCCCGACTTCCGCTCAGGATTCCTGGGACCCTGGAGTTCCCGACTCAACTGCCTAAGTCTGTGCAGACCTTTTCCCCCTCTGTTCTCCTGGGGGCCCGTCAAGCCGTGCGTGGATTTGACCCTAAGGCCAGGGCAGACCACAGGGCAGCTGCGTGAAAAGAACCCGGAAGGCGAGCTGGGACTTCCATCGCCAATGCGGGAGTCAGGGCTGAGAGGGGCCTCTCAGGTCAGCGTTCTTCTCTCGCCCCGGGCTTCCCAGCACCGGAGACGGCCCTGCCCGTATGCAGCGTTTTTGGAGGAGAAAGTACATGCACTTGGATTTTCTTGGAGGAGAAAGAATAGGGAGAAAAATTACAGGAGTTTGAAGGAAAGCATTTTTTTAAATGTTAATTCTACTTTATTATAACATAGCCTATACCTAGTTTTCTATAAAAAGCAATAATTTTTAGTAAAAGCAAGGCCACGGTTGTCTCCATTTAAATGCCTATCTCAACTATGTAAGGACTCTGTTTATGGACACAGCCAAGCTTGATCAGGTGCCAGGAGGTTCAAGTATTGATTATGCTTAAATGGATAATTTGCATAATCACAAGTGGATATCCGGGAAGGAATGCTGTTCACAAGAGAAACAAGAGCCTTGTCATCTCACTTTTGGAAAGCTCGCCTTCTAAATCTCAAGGTTCGGAGGATAGAAGTACATGCACGTTTGGGCTGGTTCCATGGCACATATATGCAGCGTAAGGGTTCTCAGGTGATCTTGCCCAGGCATGGAATCTTCCTGGGCTTGCCAGGGATGTGCACTGCTTTCTTCCCAAGCAGTCTGGGGCTTTGCTGAACTGCGGCTGTAGCGGCAGGAAGGATTCCAGGCCATGTCTTCAGTGGCCCCCGGAGCTGGCCTGAGTCAGCCTGGGCTGGCTGGGCCCAGGACACGTTAGGGGGAGGAGAGCTCTGGCCAAGCCCCGACTGCCTGCCGAGAGAGGTGGGCCAGCCAAGCCTGGCTGGAGCAGCTGTGGGGGGCTCCCTCGGGGCAGCCTGCAGAGACAGCATCTGTTTCCTCACCCCGCGGGAGCCAGCCCTACACAGGCGGTGTGGGCCCTGCCACAGATGAAGTGGGAACCAAGAGTCCCCCGTGGTCCTTGGCACGTTCTCAAACGGCTCCCACAGCTCACTCTCTCTAAATGGGCCTCACCTTTGCCCCCGTCCGAGGGGCCAGGTTCTTGGCCTTGGGGAGTAGGAATGTGAAAAGGAAACCCCCTGGTTTGCAGTGTATGTGCTGATGCTCTATTTCCCCCCTTTAGGAGACAGAGGGATGCAGATTCCTGGCTAGGAGTCAGCCTCATCGAAT